CTACTGTTTGAGCGACCTCACTGTTTTTGTTAAATGTTAGGTATCCTTATGATTTTTGGAAAGCGTAATGGGTCAGTGCTGTCTGATTTTTTCTGGGGTCGGAAGCTGTCGGGCTGGAATCCCAGGTAAGTTATTCTAGTTTCAACTTTCCGAGGCAGATATATCGTTGCGATTTTTCCGAAAGAAAATAGTTTCTACGTTCATATTGGCTACGGTTTATGAGGTATTTATAAATAAGGGACTCTGCTGATCATCGAATCGAAGACCTTAATATCATACGTTCCACTAGAGGATTTTGCTGCAAATGGCGCCTTTCAGGATCAGGGACGGTTCAGTGATTACGCGTTACTCTACGCTTCTGTAGTCGATAATGTCAATATTTGAGTGTGACCTCCTCGGTTACCATACGGCTTCTTGCATTTCACCACAACGACAAAGTCCATCCCATATTTGACTGGCAGGTGGCAATGCTGGTCTCTAGTGTATGCAACGCTATTGTGCTTCTGTCATACCTTCGTAGATACTGCTTTTGTGGTCAGCTTGCTGGTCAGGATAACAACTGCAGTGTGACACGGGACTGTATGCCATAACCTATAAGAAAACACATTCGTCGTGAAGCTATGAAGGATACAGTCTGCCTTCTGGCCCACTTTATGGTTAGACAGATTCCCATTTCTGGCGAGTTGGACTGCCTTAAAGAACATCCTACATTCTATTATTTGACATACCCAGACGACTAAACATTTTGTAAGCTTTAATTTTTGCTGTATACATTTTGAACTCTCGTATGGTTGAACTCCCAGTCATTAATGTATGCGTTTCTAAAATTTTCGTTTTTACAGTTCTAATTGAAAGGTTGCATCTGTGACTCAATTTTTTTGACGGTGAGTTCGGTGGCTGGACTCTCATAAGAAAATCTAAGTTGCAGATCTGATATCTGCGCTCATTTCTCTGTCTGTATTTGAAATCTAACACTCTTCAAGCATAAAAATATGGCCTCTTATGCCGGAATCTCTTGGAGGCGTAAATCTTCCAAGACCTAGCTTTATAGGCACACCACTCCCCTTCTTTCTCCTGGAGGCTCGCATAGGTTCACCTTCGTTCCGTAGTACATGAGCAGCTGCAGAACTAGATGCATCTTTATTTAATTTTCGTTTACACCTTGTGCTGATCTTTAGTCAGCTATGAGGTGGGCATTGCCATACCAAAACTCCATGCTGCCTCTATTATTCGCAGATCAGCTACCAGCCACTTTTTTTCAGCTGGTTGCGCAGTGTCTTCCATGCAGGAGAGAACTACCAGTTTATAAAAGAAAATTTGTTGTTTTGCGTTTGAGCCCGCACTATACTATGCATTGTAATGTCATAACGAAGGCGCGCGCGCGCACCCCGTACTTTTTCTTACTCAAAGTAGCCTAGAGGGCTACTTGAACTTACCTTAAGATACATAAACAGCTGAAGTGCTATGTGAATCTGCATCGTTGTTTCTTCTTAAGTAAGCGCAATGCTTTAAGGAAATGCGTCGAAGACGAGTCGAGACAAGTATTGAACTTCGTAAGCGGCAGAAAGAGGAGCAGCTTATGAAGAGAAGAAACATCGAGCCTTGCGATATTCTCTCATCACCTGAGGAGGTTAGCGTAAAAGACGTTAACGAGGAAGTATGTGCATGATATGTTTCTTTAATTTAATTATTTCATTCATTTGAAGTGGTTTCTCGCCTTGTCGCTTTGCTACAATGTTTATTGACTTTCATGTAGTAATTGATATATCTCTTATGATATGCTGATTTTCTACCAGTTTAAATTTGGCAGTTAAGTTGCTTTTTATTTTTTTGTTTAGCCTTTAAGTAGAAGTTTTGCATGATGTTATTATTTATGCGACAGTATATTTCACAGTGGTCTTCACTGACATAGGTCAGTAGCCTGAGCGCTGTAAAATTGGTTCTATCGTTCTCTTTTCAAACATATCAAAGAACAGTATGAATTCGATTTCTTTCTCTTAGTGTGTCCTGAATGGCAGGCTTTTGACATATTCAGGTACGATGATAAGAAACTGTTCCGTATCCGATTTTGTCCTTAGTCGTGATCAAGCTTACTCTAGTTACTAATACAATCGCTTAAAAACGAACAAGATCTATCTTTAACATGTAAATTACGCGATGTAAATGACAGGTCCTCCTTATACAATTCAAAGTTTAATTATCAGTATCTCTAGGGCAGACAGTGATGATCAGCTGAAGCAGTGAAGATATGCAGCAGAATGCAAAGGAAGCAGTTGTCCACTGCTGATTAGATCAGTTCATTAAGAGAGCTCGTAAAATTAAAGTAATGCGACATGGTCCTCTTCAACTGAGGTGTTTATTAATGAAGGTATCATGAAGAGTCTATATTTCTGTTTTGGAATAAGGATAATAAAGTTTTATTTATATTCTCTTCTCGCTCATGAACTGATGTTCTTTGATGACAGAGTGCATCTTGTCAGCGACCGCCTTATTTGTTAGCCGCACCCTAACAGTGCTTGCTACCACCTTAGTGACGAAAAAAAACTTTGCTAGGTGAAAATCGAGCATGGCAGAAGTTGTTAAGAAGGCCAGCTTGCAAAATGGTTAAAAGGGGTTTAGATAGATCTGTGTATGGAATGTATTGTCTTAGGGAATGTCCCAGTCTGGTGGCGTTCTGCTAGGGGTAAACGGCAAATTATAATAACCCAAAGAATGCATATAACTTTCTTGTAAATTCTCCCGTAATACGATTCTTTTATCAAAGAATTGGAGTTTCGGTTTCACCGAGGGTAAATTTTTGCAACTATGTGAAACTTGTTTGTCTTGCAGCATTTCAAGCTTTTTGTTTCTCGATTTCTCCTTAAATTTCCAAAGATCGATGGATGATCAGTCGATGGATGAACTGGACAACAGGCTGGTTAGGTGTCAATTTGATTTCTGGAGTAAAACTTGCTTACTAAGGGCTTAATGTAACATATATTGCTTGTTTGCCTTGCTTGCCTATTTTATAACCATTCTTGTATTACTTATTTTTTATTGTTTTGTTTAATCATGTTCATTTTGAGGATCGATCTGACACGCTTCTTCTCAATTGTCTTGCGACATTTCTTACTGGCAATATAGATGAATTGCTCAAACCTGTTAAAATGATCCGACAGTTGCTGTCCAGGCCTGTGGACCCTCCAATCAACAAAGTGATCATTTCTGGAGCCATTCCCTATCTGATAAAGTTCTTGGAAGTGAATATGTAAGTATTTTGTTTAAGAAATTTTATTTCTGATGATTTGCGTTGAATATCCGCAATTTTCATTGTTTTAGACCGGATTTGCAATATGAATCAGCTTGGGCTTTAACGAACGTTTTGTCTGGTAGTAGCGAACAGACGATGCAAGTCGTGAATATGGGAGTCATTTCACCGTTAATTAATTTGCTGGGTTCCAGTTCCGAGTGCGTTGCCCAGCAAAGTGTATGGGCACTTGCAAATATTGCCGGTACATGCAAATTACCATCATGGCTTATTGTATATATTGTGGTAGTTGCTTTATTAACATTTCATTTAGGTGACTGTGCGAAGTTACGAGATATGGTAATCGATCTGGGTGCTATTCCGCACTTTTTGCAGCTTGTCGAGAAGCCAATTTCAGTATTAAAGTTTCGTATGTAAAAACTTTCATAAAAAAGTTTTTTCTCCAGGTTGATTTTTTGAAAACGTTGTCTTGGGCCATTTCTAACCTTTGTCGCAGCAAAAATCCGGTTCCTTCCACAAACACTGTTACGCAGCTGATGCCCGCCTTAATTCGACTTCTCAATAACGAAGACCACGTGAGTAGCCCAAATCGCTTCTGTTTACAGAAGTCTTTCAATAGTATTAAACTTTGTTTTTTACTGGTAAGTTTATGAGCATTGAGATATTAATGTCTGTCCATTAAGATTACGCCCGACCTTGACATAGCAGATGTGATCCTTCGTTCGGAATGTTTTACGACGTATGTGTACAAGTTCTGAATAATTGAGCATGCCAACATTTTGCTGTTGTGTATTCAGACGGAGCTAAGGATGTGATTTTTCATTCTGAAAAATTGCGCACCAGGCTTAGTTAAGTTCTATCTTTCGCACCAGGAGTCGTCATTCTGTTTTGGTAAGAGAGAGGGATAAAAGGTGTGGTTTAAAGCAGTTTTCACCATTTTTTCTAGGAGATTAATACCAAGAAGTGTTCTTCTAGGTAGCACTGCTTCAAAATTCATATTAAATTTAAAGTAAATTTTTGTTACGGTTGTATAAAATCACGTTGGTTGAACTCATATATATGTTTTTGAGTGAACTAAGAATGTAATTCGTCGCAGTACGGATTGCAACGGCTAAAATGTAGAATGTATAAAAAAAACCTTTCTTTACACTGCATTTTCGCCGTTACAATTCGGTATCTTTATTTCAATATCATTAAGACAAATTTTTGAAAGTTTTGAATGCAAAGAATTTAGTAAATCAGAGACTGATAATGCGGATGGTTTAAAATTATGATCGCAATAATCTTTTATTATGTTGATGTTATTCTTGAATAAATATCTTTTTTATAATATTTCGCTGACTTTGCCTGAAGTACTGTACACAGAAATTTGCAACGGATACGAACCTCGAAACAGTACATCTTAACGTTGGCTGTTACATGAGAATAAACGCTACCTTTTGAATATTAGTATACCATTATGTAATGCGATTAGTAATAACTTATGGCGCAAAATTTACCCAACACCGGTTCATTCATGAAAATTTTTGGTAATGCCAGCATCTTAAAAGTAGTACTGGCGTCTTATCAAGTTTCTTCTTTTACTTGTATCCGATAATGTACAATATTCATAGTATTATTTCTTGCTATAGAATTTAATCTAGCCTGGTTTAAGTGAGCATTAAAGATACTTCTTGTGGTTTATATGCTTTTATGATTTTTAGGAGGTAGTTGCCGATGCCTGTTGGGCATTTTCGTACATTTCTGATGGTTCTGAAGATCGAATCGACCTTGTTTTACAGTCTGGCATGTTGAGCCGTATTGTAGCTTTGGCCCACTGCTCACACTCAAATGTTGTTCCTCCTGCGCTTAGAGCTCTTGGTAACATCGTTACTGGAAATGATCGCCAAACTCAGGTACTTTTGACTCTGCATTACTCTTATCCAAGCCATTGGTTGTGTAATGTAATGGACGTATGGAAGTGAACTCTGACAAGGAGGCTTTTTCAGCATCAATAT